TTTTTATTTTACATAAGTGTAAATATAGGTGAAATACTGTATAACTCAAACATACTCAAGCAAGTGATTTTCATTTCAGTTTATTTTTATATATTGCAATAAGGATGTACAAAGCATCGATACCCTTAACCGTTAAAATGTTAGAAAAAAAGCATATATGTGACAATAACAGTACAGTATATCAAAACATTACAGTTCCAGCGCAATCGATCAGATCCACCCTCATGGTTTAGCAGAAAACTCAAGCCACTGGTCAACAGAGTGTTTCATTAAAAGGCATATAAAGATAGAAATGTGACCAAACATTGAGAAAGAGACCAAATATGAGATTTTGCTGTCTAAATCCAAGCAAACAATAATAATAAAAAAAAAAACTTCACATTTTGAAACTACTGTAACATAAGAGGGGTTGAAAAAGAGAGAAACAAAGAATATATAATTAAATAAATATGTTTCACCATTTTAATTTGCATTAATCCACTTCTTTGATTAATCCGGTTAGGTTAAAATATATATACAAGTTAGTGAGGAAGTATAGTGTGAACTACTGTAGCTGGAACTTCTTGACCTTGATGTGTTAACTCAATTTTCACACGTAGCAATATGCAAATGAGACTTTGGCAACACACTCTGCAAGGTGAGAAACGCTATCACATGCCAAGGGTAAAATAAGAAAAACAAGTGTTCGTCTACGGGAAACACCAGTGGAACCTTTAAGAGGCACTTTTAAAGCACCTCATATTATGGAAACCTACAGCTGCAACTAGATGCATTTCTACATCAGTGAGAAACACGCAATATATGATTGTGACACTCTCCCAACAATCTCCAAACATTATATATACACAAGCGTCTTTACCGATCAAGATGACAGGTAATAGTTGAACGTGATTGGGTGAATGAGTGCTGTACAGCCACACCAACGTACAAACACAGAACAGATTTTCAACGAGTAGGATTGTACCGTCAGCTTCACTAACTTCACCCACTTCAAACCAAAACACATGCGGCGCACACACATTTAAGTACTTTTAAATACTAGTTTATACTGAGAACTATAAATATGAATATATTCATTCTAACTTTGTCACATTTCTTAATTGGACAAACGGCAGGGCTGTGAATCCGACGTACACAGAACCTGCAACAGCACAACACACACTGAGCCTGGAAACGAAAGTAGTGTTGGAAACCAAGGCGTGACGAACGCAAAGAGCTAATGTGGTGGACGCGCAAACAGTTACCCATGTTGCTAACCGACCAACACTTCAGTTAGTAACCACTTTAAACTAAGGCATGACGGGCCATTCGACAAACATTTGGTCACATCCCAGCATTCAATCACAAGCATCCACTGGACAAACATTCAGGAACAGGAGAAACTGAAATGCAGTTTTCTCAATGGCTGTCCAGACATCTGAAAAACAAGACAACTGACAGAATCTCCGACGTTTAAGATGAACCCGGCACTCAATCCTGAGTTTAGATTACACGATTTCAAAGAGTCGCACGCAGTCCATCTGCATAGAAGAACAAATCAGTTTCATTCAACGCTGAAAACATTCTTACAGCTTTAAATAACACTTCATCTCCATTAAGGCCTTTAACCGCAGAAATGCACTGACCAAAAAAAACACTATAAAAGCAAGGGAAGACCAGCTTTGGTTGGTTACTGTAACGGTCCAACCGTGGATGTATAGTTGAAATGTGGCATTTTAAACTGAAAACAAGAGTTTTCAAGAGATCAGCTTGTACAAATTAATAATTCCAGACTCCTTTTTATGTCATAAAAAAAAAAGATGAGAGCTTTTTGGAGACTAATGAGGTGGTGGTCAAGATTACATTCTAGTTCAGGCATCCGTCCATCTATTTTCTATCTCTAAATCTTCCTCTTTTGATCTGCATTCGCATACTAGTCAATAAACTAGCCAGTATGGCTTGAAAACAGTAAAAACAACAATCACCATCATCATCTGTTAAGGCAAAGATCTCCTCTGTAGCAGGATTTGTGATTCCAGGGCTTTGCTCTTATTTGGCTTATTGTTATTTTGAAATGACCTGATGCCTCTTCCTTCAGACAGCACACATCAGCCGCTTTTTTTTTTTTTTAATCGTCAAACCAAAAACCGTTTAACTGCACACGAAGGAAAACTAATATAGTTTTGTTAAAGTTCTGACTTTTTACATTAGACTACATGAAAGATGATTGTAATCACCTCGTAGTTCAGGTTGACCATCGCAACAACAACAACATGGAGGGGGCACTGCACTAAAACTCCAACTCATTCAATGCTAAAAGGAAGACGTAAAACTCTGAAGAAAAATCAACAGATGGAAAGTCGTCTACAAAAAAGCGAAAAAGTATTGTCAAATACGGCGCAGCGGGACCTTCGGTCCACTTGTGTTAAAATGTGATCAAATCAAGATCGATTTACATTTAAAACCCAATAAAAACAAGCAGCCTAAATCTAGATCGTTATAAATCATTAGTCAGGGAAAGTTTAAGATTTTAATCTGATTGCACAGGAAGGCACATCCACAAGGCTATAAAAAGTGTTGCAAAGAATTACGCTTTTCTTCAAAGTGAGAAAATAAGAAATGAGGTGATTATTGCTTCATCAAGAGCAAATTTAAAAGAAAAAAATATATATATATCCACAACTCAAAAAGTTGTGACAGTCATAACAATGATAACAATGATAACAATCAGTGTAACAATGTGTGCTCTAAAACCTTTGAGCTGAAGACTAGAGAAACCACCAAGCGTTGATCTTTCCCGTTTTACGTCTGCGGCGTGGAAGAAAAGAACTGCTCTGGAACATCCTTTTGTTTCGGCTTTGTTGAAAAATGTCTATCAGCATCTTTAAAACCTTCATCATCATCGTTATCAGTCAGAGGTGCTGTACTCGTTACATGTGTGCTCGTGGGGGCAGTTGTGTCTGTGAGCTCTTTAAGAGTAGAACGTGAGGACGCTCTGATGGTTCCCGCGCACTAAGAGGATGGGCGGCAGGTCTTTGGATAGTGTGTCTAGCCAGGCCATATAAAGGGCACTGGAGACGGCTCCTTTCCTGGCCAGCGGCATACTCCTATTACAGGGCAAATACACACAAACACAAAATGTTAATGCTGGGCAATAATGAAAGAAAATCTAAGAAAAAAAAAGCACATGATGGATTCAGCTAACTCAATGACACTTGGTGAAAGTAGAATTGGCACTGGTACATGAGCCTGTATCAAATGACTTTTTGATCTCTCTCGCTGCAATCATGGCTGTCATCTGTGAATGACTGCAAACACAGCACTCATAATAACAAAGCTAATTATTAGTTTAGTTTTGGCTTTTATTGTTTGTGCACTAATATTTGTATTAGACTATTTGCTTTTTTGGCAGAATAATATGGGGCACCACAGGGTTCAGTTGTGAGTCCGTGCACATCATCTCTTAAGTCTTTGCCCTCTTTGATCGATATTCATGGTGTTATACAAACAGTGAAATTGCAGTGTGAGACCATTGCTTGTAGTTTGTTTATTTCATATAAATTTCTGTGTAAAATTTAATTTTAATGTTTTATTAAAATCCCCGTTAGGACCAATGGATATTTTTTTCTAAACAAAACAAATGTAGTTATTTCGTATCCACCTATTTTAATTAGTCAAAACAAGAACATTCTATTTGTATACATTTTTTTGCAATGTAATGTTTCTTTTGTTTTTTAAATTACAAGTTTAACATTGTTTAATTCAATTCGTCTTTATTTCTATAGCGTTTTTACAATGTAGATTGAGACAAAGCAGCTTCACATAGAAGTTCTAGGAAATGGAAACCGTGTCAATCCAGTTTTCAGAGTTGAACTTCCACTTAGTTCATTTCAGTGTGGTTTAATTTTCACTGCTGAGCAAATCCATCGATGCGCAGCTCCACAAGTCACAAACCAAGCAAGCCAGTGGCAATGAACAAAACTTCATCAATTGACGAAAGTGAAGGAAAAACTATATATACTTTTGTTAAAGTATATTTATTATTGAGACAGCTACATGAATAATTAAAAATATATATTTGTTGGCTTTTGGTCCAAATGGATTGAGTATAAGTCTGCTGTTATAAAACCTTAAAGGGCACCTATAGTGAAAAATCTACTTTTCAAGCTGTTTGGATAGACATGTGTGTAGGTATAATGTATAGACATATCATCATATTTTCAATGTAACCATATAAAAACGGTGGATCAAAATCAAGCAGATTTTAGATCGACCGCAACTTGACGTAGGAGTGCGGTCCCCCCCAGCCAATAATATTGATTGACAGGCGCATCACCTAATCCTCAGTTTGTTATTTCACGTCCGCCATTTTCAGCGTGTGAGTCAAAGTGATGTTACTAAAGGAACACCATTGCTCTATTTTTAGATGTAAGGCTCATTGGGCTCAACACGAGATCAATATTCTCCACATTATTGCTCTAATCTGAATTATTGTTTGTAACTTAGTTTGTTTGTAGGTAGGTTTGCAAACATGTGTACTTTTCATTGCGTCTACCTTAAACTTCAGCCGTTTGCATTTCTTGGAGTCACAGAAGCTCCCTGTGATCCTAACTAGGTGCAGCTGGTAAGTGCGAGTGCGTTGCCTCATGTGTGACTCTCTCCACTGGAAATAAAATAACGAACTTGATTGCAGGTCGCACACCAGAAGCGCCGCTTTGAGGATATGTTTAGAATTGTAGAATTCCACGATTCGGGATACTTCACGTTTCTGCCCCGCCACAAAGCTCCATGTAAATAGCTTCATTTTAAGTAACATTCGAATTTGTGTGTCTGGTGTGCCGTGTCGTGGCTCCAAGTGGCGCATCCGGTGCCTCAGTCAAAGTTAATTCAGTGTGCGTGGTTATTAGTTTCGGTGTAAAAGCTTGGCACTTTAAATTAGCACACAGTTGGCTGTAAAACTATCCAAAGACAAATGATTTTGTAGTCTCTGCTTGGTCTGTGTCCGAGTCGTACATGTACGGCTGAATGCTGATCCTATCACTCATGTTGCTTCTCTCTGTCTGCCTGTCTGTTGCCAAACAAAGAGCAGGGAAGCTCTTGACTCCGCCCCCTTGTTAAGTTGGGTGGGAGGTCGAGACTAATTTTCAAGTGAAGCAACACACCCCTAAAACAGCAAACTGTGTACACACCCCCAACATCACACATTTTAACACATTATAATAAAAAATATCTGAACTGTGTGTTGAACTTAACCTAAACTGGCACGCTCAGAAGAACCATAATATTAATATTAAATCATAAAAAAGGGGTAAACTATGTGCCCTTTTATGTTTCATTTATAAATAGTATGTCTGCTCCCCCTTACTTCCGTAATAAGTATTTGTATAGATGGAAGATTATGTAAAGGGATATATTGCTGCTATTATCATGAAGAACTGTGTAATTGTTTTTAGTTTCCCTTCCTAGATTCGTGAATTTAATTTGGGGAATTTGCTGTATAACATCTGTTGTGAATTGTGTCTCTTTGAAAAGTTTTTTTGGGATGGACTGTTAGTGATTTGATGGATGTCGGCCTGACTGGATAGCTTTACGTGGACAAAGGAAAGTTAAGACCTGTTTAAAGTAATTTAAGACCTACAGCACAATATTTTCAGAGAATTTAAGACTTTTTATATCCTAAAAGTTAAAGCTTTATTTTGATGGTCCATTTGAGTCTTAGAATACTGACTGCTTATAATATGTTGATACTGCTGCTAAACAGACATTTAACTGACTATAAAAAACCTGGCAAGAACATGTCAACTTATAATTTAATGAGAATTAGTTGAAATGTATATGCAGTGTAACTTCAATTCAACAAAAACAGACCATCTAAACAAAGTGTGACCGCTAAAAGTTTGTTTTTGAAATTTAAGACTTTTAAGACTCCCCTGGACACCCTGTTATTGTCTGCAGCTTACCTACCTCCACCAATAGGTGGCAGCAGGTAACTTTTTATGAATCACAAAAGAACGTTTGTAACTTACATGACAATGAGGTTGGCTGTGCTTGAGTGCTCCTTCAACAGCTCATTCAGTCTGATCTGACGGTTACCCTAAAGAAACAAACAAATCCATTAGCAGGAAGACAGAGTATCGATTAAATACTCCAGACAAGCAGAAGACAGAGCATTTACCCTATTAAATCACAACTCTCTATTACAGGTTAGTTAGTCCACCCCAAAATTAAAAGAGCAGATTTTTTAAGGATCATTTTAAAAAGAAATATATTTTGTGGTGAAATGACAATATTTAATAAATAACAAAATGTTCATTTTGTGGTGAACTGCTGTAACTAAGAATATTAGTCCTGTTCTTTGAATTTAACGGTCTCAGAAATTATTTTTTACAGCTAAATAGAGTCATTACATCAACCACAGTTTAAAGATTTATAAATATGTCTTCTGTCAGGAGGAAGTGTGTTGTTCTAGTTCTGCTGCCTATGCCCGGAACTGTCTTATCTACTAAAATTTGCACAATCACGTGTGGTACCACATGTTTATTTTTGCTCTCTGTTGACTCATTAACATTCATGTTATAGTATTTTCTTATGAGCTATCATGACTTCTCAGTTTCAGCAAAACATTACGAGAGAATAATTATTAATTACTGTTTTACTTTGCAATACATATAAATAAAGTCATAATTTCTTCCCACGTGAGTGATGAGGAAAAATTAATCTCTGCTTGATCAATCGGTTTGTTATTGTTTTTTTTCGACTGCTGGTAAACATTTAGACCTTGGCTTTGTAGAGCTCCAGCTCATTGTCTGTGATCCTCCAGGGTTCCTCGCTTTTCAGCTTCTCAGCAGCTTCCTGCTCCATGTCATCTTCTCTCAGTTTATATGGCTCGATCATTTCAGCAAACTCTGTCAAACTGAATGCAAAAGCAAAAAGGTTGGCATTAGTAAAAGTTGAAGTGGAACTTATGTTCTAAAACAAATATGCTAATTAATGCAATAGGAAACCCCTGAAAGTGAAGCAACTGATTTCAAAAGAACTAAATAATTCAATTAATTGATTTATTTTTTTACTGCTTACTAATGTCTGTTGATGCTTATTTGACAGATGGCTTTGACTCAGCTAACAGTAACAACAGCTGATGGTTACCATTATTAAAATCACAGTTTTTTTTTCTATTTTGAAATTGATGGAAACTACAGCTGCTTTTACATCATCATTTTACACCGAATGGATCTTTTTGCTTAACTCTTACAATCTATGCTGATCCAGTCCACAGTAGTGTTGATAACAGAATTCTTTGGAATGTATTAGTCCTTGCCTTGGTAATGTAAATGTCAAATTCAAATCACGATTTAAAGGATCACCAGAGATTTTGGTTTTTGTAACTCCTTTTTTCCCTGATATTTACTTTGTGGAATAACAAAAAATGTTTTATATTAATAAAAAAAAAAAAATTATGAAGAAACTAGCAGTCAGTAAAAAATGTCATGTACACACAATCTATCAGCCCACTACAACTTATTGTGGTCGGTAGGGTGATGGTAGAATGGTTTGTAATGGTGTGGTGACATTCCAGGCTCACCTAGAAAATCAACTGGAATCATAGAACAGTTCGGAACGATAGCGGAAAAGCTACTTTTGATGCTCGCTTTAGGAGTTCTTGTGTGTGTAATTGCTAGTATAAGGGCTTTTATCTGATCCATGCACATAATAGTCATCGCCCAGCCACAGTTCAAATTGAATTCAGCAGTATCAGTAAAGAATCCTGTAAAAAATGCTTCACTGACAGGATTTGTTTTTTCTTTTAGATAATTTATCCACACCTTCACTGTGCAATTCACCCTAATAAATGTATAATTTCTTCACAATTATACAATGATGAAAAATAAATCTGTTCTTTATCAATCAATTTGTTGTTGTTTTTTACTGCAGGCATGTCTAACTAAACACAGCAGAATAAGTAAAGAATCTTGTAAAAAAAATATTTAAAATGTTTCACTGAAAGACACATTTTTGCTTTTTAAATAATAAAACAAAAATCAAAAGATGACAAAAAAAGTTCACAATATCACTCAATGAGAAAAAAAACAAACAGTTAAGACCTTTTGAAGAAAAATTCACAAGATTTTATGAAAAAAAAAAAAAAAAAAAACATGTCTTATGATAAGCATTGTGTAGATCATACCCCTCAGACTTTGGCTTTGTGTTGATGTCACCAAGGACTGTGATGTCAGAGAAATCGATCCTGAACTTGCTGAGCAAGGTGGCCATGCTAAGGACAGAACAACAAAATCTCATTACATATTTATTGGGCAATAATAAATAATTCACACAATATTTGCCACTGCTTCCTCACAGCTCAGAATGTTCTTCAAATGATCCTGAAAGGTTACATGCGGGAGGGGAGTGAGGATGAGTGAGGATAGAATGTTTTCTGATCCTTGCCAATTGACCAAAACTGAATCTGCATCACTGTCATGATACACTGCAGTGAATCCATGAAAAATAAATCTACACACGCACGCACACACACAGATACACTGTACAGGTGAACACCTCTCACAGTTTCTATGAAGACCCTGCTGCTGGAACACGTCTAATTATAGCTAACAAAGGCCCTGGCAGCAGCTGCAGGGGACAATGGGAAGCATTTGTCTCTTACACACAATACCTCCATGTGCATTCAGAGAAATAGAGTGTGCGCCATGTTGGGAGCGCTTTATGTAGAAAGAAACATGGCATACTAATATTATCCCGAGTCCAGCTTTCACTAGCCTGCCTCATCTGAACTCCACTGAACTAGAACAGACTCTGATATGATCATGAAAGTATATGTATAGCATTAGAGAAGCTTTAGAACTCACGCTCTGCGGTCATGGTCTATTCTGTTGATCTTCCCACCGATGAACACGCGGATCTTACAGTCCTTCCATTTCTTCTTGTTGGCGATAAGATAGGGGATCAGTAGAGTCAGACCTGACACGGATAAAGAACACGAAATTAATACTAGACTAGACTTGTTCTAGTAGTAGAAACTTGAAACGAACTATGCACGTACATCTGACCTAAAACCTGTCTATGTTTCTGTGTGAATGAAATGCTGCAGAACCACTTCACTGCTGTCAAAACTGTCTTTACCATGTTGAACTGGATATAAATGGTTAAAGTGAGAGTTCATCAAAAAAACTGAACTTTACTCACCCTCAAGTGATTTTTTTTCTGTTCAAACAGACGAACCTGTAGCCACTGACATACATTGTAGAAAGCAACAATAATAGGGAAGTCATTGGCTACCGGTTTCCATCTTTAAAATAGCAACATTTATGAATACCTTTTTTTGTGTGCATCAGAAAAAGTGTAGGCTGAATAAATGATGACAGAATTGTCAATTTTGAGTGAACCATCCTTTTTAATAGCCACGGAAGACAAGACCATGAGCAAACACTAGTTTGTAAAACAGAAAGCTCTCCTCCTTGCCTTCAGAGCATTTAATGCAACTCCTTGTCATTTCAAAAGCACTTCTCATTTCTACACCAGAACACCACTGCATTGAGCTTTCCTGTTAGCCCATCAATTCCTAGCGGCACTTTTGGTCTTTGGTAATGAGCCCAAAATAGCACAAGGCATGCCAAGATGCTCCACTGGCTGCCAGTCTCCTTATATCAAGACATTGACATTTACTTATTTGTAAGTCACTTTGAATGAAAGTGTTTGCTAAATGAGGAACACCACAAGCGAAAGTGCTAGAAATGGAGAAGTTCTACTAATACAAAGGTTCAGAACAGAACAAGCTGGAACAGAGAGGGATTGAGGAAGTGAAACCTGCAGGACAGTGTCCCTCTAGCAAAAGGTCTCTGAATGACCCTAGCATAGAAAATGCTTTGTTTTCTCCAGCAGGAATCAGTTAAATAATGATGACAGATTTACTAAATATGTGTTTTTTTCATTAAAATATCCAAAATACACTAGAAAAGTGTTGTATATTTTGCTAATTTTCATTTATGTACTAACATAATCCCACACGTCATTTCGAAGAACTTCATTATGCAGAGAAATAAGCTGTTTTAACAAGTGACACTGACCATATCCTGTGTAGTCATGTGAATGACATTTGACACCTTTAAATACTGGTTCGGTTTTAAAGGGGTGGTGCACTTTGATATCATATTTTAAACTTTAGTTGGTGTGTAATGTAGCTGTTTGAACATAAACAACATCTCTGAATGTAAAAAGTTCTAAGTTCAATGCAAAGAGAGACCTTGGTTTTTACAGAGTTAGCTTAGCAAAGCCTACAATGATTGAATTTTGGGGACTACAAAAAATAATCGATCCGCGAATCGCAGCACATTATGACGATGACTCTGAGAGAGTCTCTGGAGGGCGGGCCTTTCAGAGGAACTAGGAAATACATCAGTCATTTTCATGTTAGCCGAGTAGCTGTGTATAATCAAAGTAAGATATATGAAAAAATAACATGATTTCCTTAAAGTGAAACATGAACACACATTGCTTTGCATCTTATAAACACAACCAAGCCTTAATTACATTCTGGACCACCCCTTTAAAGAAAAACAATGCTTTAAGATGTTGTGTATTTTATTATACTGCATAGAGCAGCATTATAACAACTTTAAAATTTACTTGGTACTATTAAAAAGCACTGCTTTTTTCTTTTTCATGTGATCATTACTGGAATAACTAAATTTGGTCGACTGTGACACAACAAAAACTCTGCTGCTTTCGTGCTGTGGTGCTAGTCCCTCATCTCATTGCTTCAGTGATCTTGTTTGACTTCAACACTTTCAGCCTTACGCTGCTTTATACTAACATGATACGTTCTAAATACCTTTACTCTTACAGAAATCACGTTCATGGATGCACTAGAGTAGAATATAGTAAAGTCAATAACTCCCATGATTCCATAATCATTCATGAATATTCACTCCATAGCGACAAAACTTAGGCCCCGTTTAAACTAACACATTTTAGTTTAAAAAAAATGCATAAGTTTTGTTACGGTTAGGCCATCCGTCCACACTACGCCAGAGTTTTCGAGCGCTGAAAAAGGAGCGTTTTGGAAACGCTGAAGAAGCCGTTTTCATCCTAAAACGCTGCTGCTCTGTCTCAGTGTGGATGGGGGAAAATGAGACATCTGAAAACGGAGGCGGGCCTGCCGACATTCGCTTCTCTGATTGGGGCTTTTACTCAATATTAAGTAGCCTAACACACACAGTTAAAGTTCTGCATCCTCTCCTTGTAAGTTCAGACTTCGCAAGTTTGATATGGAAAACCGACTCCCGAGAACATGTCAGGTAAATCTTCAAAGGGAACAGTGTACTTTATAACCTTATTCACATCATCCTGGCTACATTGTTTCACTTTCTTAACAATAAAATAAAAACATGATATAAAGGAACTGCTATTTTCAGTTTGATATTAACAACTTAACAGACAGCAGAAACGTTGAGGCGTTGTGCTGCATATACGAGCGTCATCTTCACTGTATGCGTATTCTTAAAAAAACGAAGCCTATAACATTACTGCCTCCTTTTGCTGAATATTAGTTTTAATAATCAATAATGGCCATTATAAAGGTATAAAGTAAATAAGTTCATACAATATAGGAAATAAAGGCAAGCAATCAGCCAATATACAGAATGTACATGGTTTTATTAACTATTAACTTATCTTTGCATTCAGACAAAACCCATTTTCTAAGAACAAGTTATAGATTCAAAAGACCAAAGTCGGGGAATAGGTTGTTAGATATCGACAACAAGATGAATTAACTATCCCGTTTAGCAAATATGGTGAGATTAGATCCAGTGGGAGATCCTTGATGAGCAGTCCGACAAGCAGAGCTCTCATCTGGGTAGATGGGCTGCAGCGCATGCCAGAGAGTGTGTGTGTGGTCACGTGATGTGCGTTTTCCGCGTTTTGGTGTAGACGGAGAGCTGTTCAGAAACGCTGGGTGAAACGGTAGTGTGGACATGGATCATTTTCATTTTAAGGCTAGAACGCACTAGTGTAAACGGGGCCTTAAAAACTGTGCCTTTCAAGACATTGTGGCTCAGGTGATTCTGTGCAAAAGTGTCAGTCTTCACACCTACTGTGCTCTTACATTTGAAATTATTTCATGTAATGCAGTAAATGGACACATTTTAATATACTGAGGTTTTATATGACTAAGCTAGCATAACAATTCTTGCTTATAAGAAGAGCATTTGGATATATACTGCACAATCAAACTGATTGCCAAGTTGCTTCATCACAAAAGATAATCATTTGCAAGTGCTTTTAAGTCTTGCCAATTTAAATGTTCAGGTAATTATAAACCGGTTGAGTTAAATGAGACGGGTTATAATGCGTTTAACTGTCTTTTTTGAAGAGTATTCACATAAACAGCCTATTATATCTGATGTGACAGTGAAGGCTGTGAGAAAAAGCAAAAGTCACTGTACAAGATTTGTGGATTCTTCTTGTCGGCTTAGTCCCTTTATTAATTCGGGGTCGCCTCAGCGTAATAAGACTTGTGGATTTGGTCTTAATATACCCGTGTTATTAATAAACTGTTATTGAAGGTGCAGTAGGTGATTGTCTTCAGAAAAAAATTTTGTTGTGCTGGTTGAAAGTCTGATCACATTCTTATAGTAATGATTTAAGTAAATGATCTAAATGTATTTATTTGTATTTTTATATTCTGGGTAAAGCATAAGACAAAAAAAAGTTCATCCATTTAAAACTGGTTGGGCCAACAATTCCTATAATTCTGATAAATAGCCCAAACTGTCTGTCAAAAATACATGCTGAATCAAAACATGCTGAATCAAAACGCATGGAGGAAGGACGACACCATGACTTTATTTTAGACAGGTAATGTTATGTTTTGACGCAAAGCTGATGTAGATTTTAAAATTTATGAATGGGTTAAATACACGGAAGAGTTGTTCAGCTACTGAAATCTTCTGCCGAAAGATTGATGTGACTATTTTCAATTTTAAAGATAAATTTTACAGCATCAATAATGTAGATTTTTAATTAGTTTAACATCAAAACATAACTAAATTGCATTATTCCACCTAGCCTGCTTTACTGAAGAAGTTTTATAATCACATTGGTTCATTTTTGACCAGCGATCCATGCATGCATGAAATATTCCACATTATGACAAATTTTGCTTGCTACACTACTGAAAACGTGCTAGATAGTTTGTCGTTCTGAATTGTAGCATCTAAAAAATAAATGTAAAATAATAATATTGATAAAAAAAATGTTGAAAAAGTTTTCTAACTGACGAATAACATGATCTAGTGGGCTGTCATGTTTAATTTGTCATTTCAGGAGGCGTAGCTTTGGACAACAAGGGAGGGACTGTGTTTCAAAAATATTATTCTAACAGATAACATTTTTGCAGATCACCTACTGCACCTTTAAAGTTAGTCAAGCAACAACAACAAAAAACCTAAGAAAAATCACTCACTTGTTGCTTTAATATGAATCTTCAATTAGGGATGCTCATTTCGATTAATTTTGCCAACCGACAACTGCCGCTCGTTAACCGAATATTAAAGCCTCTGCTTTCATTTAATTGAAAAATGAAAAGAAACACAACTAACAGAACACGCTTTTTCTGCTCAAACTTTTTATTAACAGCAAAGATGCGAGGCATAAAGGTCGCCGCAAAAGGATCATGGCCATAAGAAAACTTTTTTAAAAGATATGTAGCCAAACTTTAGAAATATATATGTATGGCGACACATATGGCGACACAGTGGCGCAGTGGACAGCAAGGAGGTTGCTGGTTCGAGCCTCGGCTGGGTCAGTTGGCATTTCTGTGTGGAGTTTGCATGTTTTCCTTATGTTCACGTGGGTTTCCTCTGGGTGCTCCGGTTTCCCCCACAAATCCAAAGACATTGTATAGGTGAATTGGGTAAGCTAAAAATTGTTTCCCAGAAATGGGTTGCAGCTAGAAGGGCACCCGCTGCGTAAAACATATGCTGGATAAGTTGGCAGTTTATTCCGCTGTGGCGACCCCAGATTAATAAAGGGACTAAGCCGAAAATAAAATAAATGAATTATTATATACTAGGGATGTAACAATAATGTAAATACCGTCATACCGCAATAGTAATTTTTTTCAATATTACCATAGGCGCATGACTCAATAAAACTATATTTCTGAGAAAAGTTTGCTTAGGCGAATAAAGTGAACGGGAGGTAGCGGCAACTACAATTCCCATCAGCCTAGGCGTGGCCATCATCCTTTGCGGTCTGTTGTCACTACAGATCCAGTAATGCGGAAATGGAGTGTGTTGCTAGTAGCGGGCAAGAAAAAGAGCTGGAAAGGATCAAACCTAAAGCGGGTTTTAAATTGGATGTGTGGAAGCATTTCGGTTTCTTTCTAAAAAGATACGAAAAAGGAGAAAAGGTGACACAAAGAAAAAAACACAGTATGCAGGCACTGCCAGACTGTGGTTGAATATAAGTCGGGGAATACGACTAAAAACAGTCATGGAGACTGCAGAACACAGCACACTTGTTAGATTGATGCAGACATTGACTTGTACCGCAAAGAGACCTTATCTCACTCATGGCTTGTCCTCTCAAGTGGTGGAAAGACAATGCACAACGTTACCCACTGCTGTCAACCTTGGCTAAATCATATCTCTCTGTCCCAGAAACCTCAGTCCCAAATGAGAGTTTTTTTTTTCTATTGCAGGGGACATGCCCAGAGATCCCAGCTTTTACCAGATTATAGTTATATGATAATTTTCCTTAAAAAAACCCATCTCTATTAAAGTGAGTAAGTGATTAAATGTTGAATGTGATGAGTTTTCCTGTTTCGAAACTTACAGATAGATGACTAATTTGTATGTCATTGATATGTTCAGTGCTAAGGTAAATAAACACTTTTGGCACTCTTTTCGAGTCTTTTCATTAGTTTTGTTTTTCCTGTAAATTATTCAATAAATACTGTACCATGCCATTCATACCGAGGTATTATCGTACCGTGAAATTCTGATACCGTTACATCCCTATTATATACATATATTTTTTTTTCATCTAGAAGGGCATCCCCTGCGTAAAAACATATGATGGATAAGCTAGTGGTTCATTCCACTGTGGCGACCCCAGATTAATAAAGGGACTAAGCCAAAAAGAAAATGAATGAATGAATATTTTTTAATTGTTTAACTGATACCATTAATCAGGTAAAAACGCACCCTTTCGGTTAATAGTTAATCGTTTTTTTATAAGCATTCCTATCCTCAATAAAAACAGTATTTACACATTTTTTTAAGCATTTTCTCTGTTCAATCTTTTTTATTCTAATTTTATTACAGTTTATTTGTCTTGAATAATACCTTGACAATGTTTGATTAAATTAGGCCTTCACTGAGCAGAGTTGTGCTATTAGATTGTGTGATGTTGAAATTGCCACTGAAAAAGGTTGAAATGTCATTTGCATATAAAATTTTGATATCGAAACTTAATTCCAGAAAATCAGAACTAGAGCATGATAACTCTGTTTGTAGGGATTTTGGTCATATCTCAGTAAGATTATGTTTTCAAATCCCCCCATGCTTGTTGGATTTCATGAATTGTTTTTTAATTGCAAAGACTTTTCTTAGCACTGAGAAAACAACAATTGCTCAGGTCAAAAAATAAAACCATTTTTAAAAACCGGGGCAACTTTAAAAAAAATTCAGGTAACCACTTTACCTCACCTGCTTTTGTTTTCTCTCCATCAACATTTGTCTTTTCGTCATATTTGTAAAAACGAAATAAATCCTTTCAACATAAAAATCAAACAATGTGATTACAGTGCATAACTGCAAATGTTTTAAACATACCCCCGTCATCAAAGAGCCACCACACATCCACTGTCCCCTTCCCCTGTTTCTGCTGAAACTGTTGACTGGCATCCAACAACCTCTGATCAGCTACATTTAGAGGAACTGTCGGGCTCTTTTTATCTGAAATGACATATAAATACACTCAGACTCCAGATAAAGAGACACAGAAGTCATTTCAATATTATCATCAGATAAATTCATAAGCAGACAGAACAAAGGAAAGATGCTGAAGCAGAATCTTCAGAGGGAAAGAGAAAGGCAGCCCTGCAGGAAGACACAGAGTATTAGATAACAGACAGGAAGTGACATCGTCAGAGCTGAAACGCACACTAGCACATGTAGATGTGAAGGTCAGATAATCGAACCAGCAGAAAACACTCAAGAAAGCAGCGTGTCCTAAAAATGTCATGAAGAAAAAGTGCATGCAGGTCTGAGACAGATGGAGCGAAGAATGAAAATGAAAGAAACGTCCTGCCTTTCTTCAACAGCGGCTGAGTGTGGGCTTTGCCATCATCATCCTCATCTGGATAACATTTTGAAAAAAACACAAGAGGGTTAAAGTCCGCAAATGCTGCAATGGGAAACATATGCGTCAGTCAAACACAATGAGACATTTGTTCTTCTGCTGCAGTTTATTAGATGAGTGTGAAGCTGGTCACCTGCTGAGGAAACCTCAGGAACGCCATCATCACCAACACATCCAGATGACATCAAACATTTATCCACATGCCACCAGTATGACTTGACAGGTAGCCAAAAAGGCCCATGCTGTTTTCTGTTCAAAAGTAGCTTTCAAACTTTAAGTGCAACCCACAGTGCGCACACACACGCACACACACACACGCACACACACACACACACACACACACACACACACACACACACACACACACACACACACACACGCACACAATCGCACACAAACACAACTGAAGTCCTCCTAAATCAAGCACCTTGAGACTATCTAAAAAATAGTAAGGTATTCTGAAAATGTAAAGTTTTACAAATTGGAATACTGAATTTTAGAACATCACTGTAGGGGTGTTCGGTTCTGGGTTTTTTTAGAGTCGACTTCGATTCTCGACTCCTAATTTGGGAGTCGGTGGAATAGATTCTAGGATTAACTCCATTTACATTCACTTACAATATTGCAAGGATTAAACGTGCTGTATCACATCGCCCTTTATACATGCACACAGTTCTTCTCTGGTAGGACAAATGCAGCCGTTTAAATAATCTGTTTAAATAATCTCAAAATAAAATAGTTATCAGCCTATACCTTTTTTACAGCATATTTTAATTGTCTAGTTTAGATAATTCAGAAAATTATTGCAATCTTGGAGACAGAAAGTTAAAACATCAATTTATTATTGAAATATTTATGACAAGATGTGTAGCAGTTTATTAACAAATAAAAAAAAAAAATCCCAATTGAGCCAGAACAACGTTTAATTAAAATAATATAATTTAATAAAAATTATATTAATAAAAATTTATATAATTTAACATAATTTAATAAAAAGATTAAATAGCTGCCTAAATATCTTCTTAATATAAATGTTTTATACTTGAATACAGAGTACCGAGTGAATGAAATAATCTGGAGTAGTGGTTGGTCTGCGGTTGTTAATTTGGGTATTTTTTAAAGACAACAGCCGCATTAACCGATCAATAAACAATATAGCTAGATTTTCAATTCGATTTAATGACCAATTACATATTAAACACCCTGCATGAAATGTTTAACTTAAAAATTTCATAACAAATCTAAAATAATAAATGAAAGCAGTGTATGGACTGTGCCTCAAATCATATCATATTGCTCTCGCCATAGGAAATGTGATTTTTTTTAAGTGTACTTTTAAATAGACTATTACTTTACTTTTGAATATCACTTAGTTTTGTGCAATTTGTTTATTGTAATTATACAAGCTTGTGTTAATGGGAGAAGTCAGACCTGTTTTTGAACACAGCCTTGGCTATGTTTTGATTTAAAAATCCTCTTTTTGAAACAAATTTCATTTGGTATTAATTGTATCTTAATTTAATGTGTGTAATTTGTAGTTATCTAGAAAATTATCAAGAATAATAGCCTAAATATTAGACATGAAAGTGCATCCAGGGCTTAAAAAAAACTAAAAATGTGTGCATTTAATCAAAATTGTCAAACAATGTTTTAAAAACTCAACTTTGTTTTAGAAATTCTTCAGACAAAAAGTTTAAGAGATGGCAAATGCAATCTTCTAACATCCTTAGACCTCAACAAGAAATCTGTACATCTAAAGAGGGCTCATTTGAAACATTCTGGCAGTTCTCATCATTTTTTCACATTTTTTCTCATCTGCTTGCCTCCCGCAGCTATATTTGTTTTTTATGGTTATTTTCTCAGCCTTCGGAGAGCACTCCGATGTCAGTTAGTGCTGAGAGGGTTGATACTTCAGACCTCTGAGTAATTTATCATAGATAGACTACAAACACAACACGCCGTGCAAGCACTCGCTCTGTTCTCAGCCTAGACCCTTCAGAGAACATGCTGTTGTTTGTCGTGTTGTGTTGGCCAGATAGTTCAGAAAACACATGGAGTGTGGATGACATGGGATGTGAAATGTTTTCTGATGAGAACTGGCCCCAAAGGGACATGCTGGATCAGAAGGTCCCCATATAACTTCCTCTGAGCAACTACTGCAGAAGAGGAACATTTCACAGAACTCCTGGGAAATAAATTCATCTGTGTCTTTATTTCAGCTTGAATATTAACACGCACAAACACACACGGACACTTGTATATATGGTTTTTCGAGGACTCTATATAGGTGTAATGTATGATATACTGTCCCACTCTTAAGCCAAAGTCTCACAAGAAACATGTGACAATTTTTTTTTAAATGTCTATGTCAAAAGACATGATTTTAGGCATTTACAATAATAAGGACACAAAGTACATCTTCGTAAACCACCTTGGAGTACAACTATGTCATATCCATGTCATTATACAATTTTGTGTCCTCGTAAACCACATAAACACTCTTCAAACCAATTTCCACACAATCTGTGGAAAACAACTGTACTTCAATACAAGATAGGGTTCTTTCATCTTTTCCAAAGCTACATTTAAGCATTTTTTAAGCATATTTATTTTATTAAAATTACATATTTAAAATCATATAGATACTTTATGACATTATATTAGATGATACTTGTTTTAGTATTGTAATGTATAGTATTCTAAGGGCGCTTTCACACTTGGTTCAATTGCCTGGACCGTACCCAAGTTCGAATGTCTCCCCCTGCCACCTACTCGGTTGGTTTGTGTTCACACTGTCTTTTTTCCTTCTGAACCCCGGTACATTTGCGTCATCGAGCTGCTGTTTTGTTTACGGCTGTTGCTAGGTGACGGTCACGAAAGCAAGCGCCGAAATGGAAAGAGTTCCGCACATCGCGGTCATTCGGCTTTAACTGAAGCTTTTGGTTTTGGACATACAGAAAGCGACTCGCGTTCATCTGCCACAAAAAGGTTATAAACATTCAGAACATCGCACAATTTTTTTTGTTTTTAGAGGAGACAAGCAGACATCACTGTGTATCACTGTGTTTGCCCTGGCTCAGTCCCGCGCGTGTCACCAAGTTAGGAAACACACACAAACACAAAGGAAAGTTATGAAAATTATAGTTTGTTGTACAGTTGGCGGTTCACTTGCGTGATTTGGTGTGATTGCATTCACATCAGAAGTGAACCGTACCAGAGTTCGCATGAACCGTACCCCAGACCACCTCTTTTAGGCGGTCTCGGGTACGGTTCACGGGTGCACACTCGAGTTCAGAAGACTTGTTTACACTAGCTAAACGTACCGTACACTGACATCAAACGAACCCGGGTGCGGACCAAAAGTGTTAGTGTGAAAGCACCCTAAATCGCAATTTAGTCTAAAGTATGCCCAAAGCCAAGCATAGAATTAGTCACTGACTCTTCTAAATGCCATTTACTCACATTATATTTACTTTACCATGTATTGTTCACTTATGAAGTGGTAATCTTAATCCATTTGGTCTTCTCCCACTTAATCAAAGGGCACAGATAAAAAAAGACAGCAATATCATGCTTATAGGCACATTGATAAATATATATTTAGACCATTTTAAGTATTACCTATTTAGTAAATCAGATTTTTATAAAAGCAAAACATTTAAATCTTTAAGCTGTTTCAAGCACTCTACTCCAAAAACGAAGCATTTTCCAAATCTTAAAAACATTACACAAAAAATAAATAAATAAACCAAGCATTTTGAAAGATTTCAAGCACCCGTACAAAGCCTGACAAGACCTTCTTTAGAACTTAACAAGAGCAAAATAAGATGTAAAAGTGCTAACCTTTCTGGACCGCTGGGCTGTTCTGAACACTGGTGGCCTTGGAGGAGGGTTTGGATGAGTCTCCATCCGAGTCTTTGCTTATGTCCACTGAAACCACCACATCCTTCATACCTGAAGAATCATCTTTAGAGACAATGGAAAGTTAAGCATTACTTTGAGGTCAAGGCAAATTTAGATCTATCATGAAAAGCAAGTCTTAATGAACTAATTACATGGACGATTAGATCTGCCTAAACATTGAAGAAATCACGCATGTCCAGCTATGAGCATCATGTTTTCCCTCTAAAAAGGCTTAAGAGTTCACATACTTTGCTCTAAATTCTCTCTCACACAAACGGAGTAAAATTTCGACCTGCTGAGACAAAGATTTTCACCTGAAGCTAGGCTGCAGGGCTGCACTAAGCAGAAGCATTTGTTAAACTCTTTATTTTTTACAAGTTACGTGCTCATGCTGAAGTTAAATGTACAGGACTATACCTTGACCTTGAATGTGAGAAATATCAAGTCCCTCTCGCAGTCTGAGAATGACAACACCATACTGAAAATCAAACGCATCACTACAAACAAACAAACAAACAAACAAACAAAACATTAGTTGCAATTTACACAAACATGTAAAAGGTGTATATTAGCATAAAGCTATATAACTTTGTAAAAATAATTTATGTGGTTAATATTAGTTTCTAAATTGTTGTATTTTCTACAATTGAGAATAAACATCAGTATATATTTTTCTGTTAAAAGCAATGCTATTAAAAACACTAGATTAGAACAAATTATTCATGGCTTAAATGTTTTTTTTTAAATGTCTAGAAACAAACAAACAAACAAACAAACAAACAAACAAACAAACAAACAAACAAAAAAAAAAAAAAAAAAAAAAAAAAAAAAAAACTTACTGTTGCAACAGCTTATCTTTTAGATCAGTGGTGCTCAACCCTGCTCCTGGAGATCGACCTTCCAGCAAAGTTCAGCTCAAACCCTGATCAAACACACCTGAACAGCACTTGATAATTACAGGCAGGTGTGTTTAATATGGGTTGCAACTGAAATCTGCAGGTAGGTCGACAGGAACAGGGTTGGTCACGCCTGATTTAGATGAAGGAACAATTATCTACCATTAAGAAAGTGTACATTTTTGTACCATAACTATTTAATGGCGCTACAGCCCTAGCAACACTACTCACTACTTTTTTTTGAAAGCATATAGCATATTGTTTTGTCCAAATTTCACCTTGAATCTCATGTTTCATATATAAATACCAGATTTCAGGCAAATAAACTACAATCACCAGCCACTTTATTAGGTACATCTGTCCAACTGCTCGTTAACACAAATTTCTAATCAGCCAATCACATGTCAGAAACTCAATGCATTTAGGCATGTAGACATGGTCAAGACGATCTGCTGCAGTTCAAACTGAGCATCAGAATGGGGAACTTTAAACAGTTGTTGGTGCAAGATGGGCTGATCTGAGTATTTCAGAAACTGCAGATCTACTGGAATTAACGGACAACCATCTCTAGGGTTTACAGAGAATAGTCCAAAAGGGAAAACATCCAGTGAGCAGCAGTTCTGTGGGTGCAAATGCCTTGTTGATGCCAGAGGTCAGAGGAGAATGGCCAGACTGGTTCAAACTGTTTGAAAGGCAACAGCAACTTAAATAAGCAATCGTTACAACCGAAGTATAAAGAAGAGCATCTCTGAATGCACAAAACATCAAACCTTGAGGCGGATGGGCTACAGCAGCAGAGGACCACACCGGGTGCCACTCCTGTCAGCTAAGAACAGGAAACTGAGTCTAAAATTTGCACAGGTTCACCAAAATTGGACAACAGAAGATTGGAGAAACGTTGACTTGTTTGATGAGTCTCGATTACTGCTGCAACATTCGGATGGTAGGGTCAGAATTTGGCAATAACATGAAAGCATGGATCTATCCTGGCTTGTATCAACGGTTCTGGCTGGCTGGCGGTGTAATGGTGTGGGGAATTTTTTTTGGCACACTTTGGGCCCCTTAGTACCAATTGAGCATTGTGTCAACACCACAGCCTACCTGAGTATCGTTGCTGACTAAGTTCATCCCTTTATGACCACAGTGTACACATCTTCTGATGGCACCTTACAGCAGGATAACGCACCATGTCATACACCGCGAATCATCGCAGATGGGTTTCTTGAACATGACAATGAGTTCACTGTACTTAAATGGCCTCCACAGTCACCAGACCTCAATCCAATAAAGCACCTTTTGGGATGTGGTGAAACCACAACTGCGTGACGATATCATATCAATATGGACCAAAATCTCTGAGGAATATTTCTAGTACCTTTTTTATTCTACGCCATGAAGGATTAATGCAGTACTGAAGGCAAAAGGTAATCCAACCCGGTACTAGTAAGGTACCTAATAATGTAGGCGGTGACTGTATATACCCAACAGCACAACAAAACATAATGGCACACTAATATAGGATTATATGCATTGATAGTGGATTGATTTCAAACTAAAAAATTAAACCTACTGTATTAGGTTTATGTAGGTCTCAACCTCCTTTATGTCTCCAGTGCGCCAGTCATTTTTGAAACCAATAACCAGAGTATTGGGCCTCAATCTACCCAGTCCAGCAGCCTGTAAAAACACAAACACACACACTCGTAATTAAATACAAACTTCTTTCATTAACCAGACTTTCCAAGGGTGTTAAGTTTTTTTTTACTGAACTCAACCCATACTCTAATAGAAAATATTGTATATTTTCATAAAACATTTCATGATTATCTAATCCTTTTGTATTACAGCGATATTTAGCATGACCAATAGTGTAGAGTGGAATTGTGGGGCCAGTTTTGTCCACATCAATGTAGGTCAAATCAACATGCACATACCAGAATTAAATGTTTCAAAATAGGCTGAAACAGAATTCAGCTGTGAGCAGATTATGGGTCACGTGCACACCTCACACTAAGCAGCAAGTAAAGAATCAAAAAGAAAGAAAAGCCCAGTGTTAGGCTAAATGGTGCAAAGGAGCCTTTGAAATTCCAGTGACTTTGCAAAAATTGACATGAAGAATATGTGAGCCAATTTTAGAGAGAATTAAACAAAACCTTCAGTAAGAGCAAACACATTTCTAAATTAACCAGTGAAAAAGATCTGGGCATTACAGCTTTTATGAACTGGACAATTGAAAAAGTGAATGAATTAAAAACAGATCACACACACATACACACACCTGCAGCATGTACTGGGTTCCTTGACGGAGGTCTTCAGCAACGACACATGTGTAAAAGGCCTTGGAGTTGTTGTTAAGGAGCCACCTCTGGTAACGCAACATATCGCTGTTTAGCTCTTTGAAGTTGGGCCGTCGAGAACTCTAAATGAGTGCAGAAACAAAAGAAAAATGAATAAATGAGTTTATGCCATAGGAACATGAGTGGATAATAAGCTCATGGTTAGTTTACGGAAATGTTTTAAGTGCCAGGGGAGACTTCTACTGATAATTCTGATTATCACGCTCCACACAGACCCCCAAATAAGAGACTGCTTTATTACACACAGCTATAATAACTGTCTCCACAGAGTGAAAGCAAGTTTTATTATTCCAAGAACATGTTCCAATAGGAACGAGAGCTGCCATAAACAATCCATTCAAGCATGGATTGCACAACATTTTACTTGCTCCAAAAACACACATACAACATGTTCTCTGTGTATTAACAAGTTTAAAATGTTACAGTAGGAAAGCCGGACGAAGGGATTTTTTTTGTAGAAGTTTGCACTATTGATTTGTCGAACAGATAAGCAATGAAATCACCCAGTGTGTGACATATTACCATTTATAAGCTCCATTCAAAGGAAAATACCATGCTGAATGAGCTAGAGCATGCATTTCACTGCTCATTTACAAGACAACTAAAACCACTAATCCAGAGAGAAGTTATATTTCATTAGCGCTCGCTAACAAAAACCACAAATCAAACTTTAAAGCCAAGTGAAACAGTCCCGTCATTCCCCAAAACAAAGGCATGTCAAACAACTGAAACACATGACCAACAACACTTTAACTAGGAAATTAGGGCTGTAGATGGTCCTTGTGGTTACTGTGGTGTTCAAGATGTGGAAAATGTGACTATTACAATTATTCTATTTATATTAGTAGTATTATTATGTTGTTATTATCTGGATCCAAATTCATTCTACTGCTATCCTCAGCTCAAGCTATTTTCAAAAGTGCTTTACTAAGATTCAAAACCAACTAATGACCCATTTCCACTGAGCCATACGGTACAGTACGGAACGCTTTTATGGCTGTTTCCACTGTCAAAAGGCGTACCGAACCGAACCACTTTTTCTGCACTCTTTTGAAAGGGTACTAAAAGGTGGAGCTACACATGCAGCTGAACACTGATTGGTTACAGAAATCCATCACTAGCTCATGTGGAGCTAGCCAGAATGAAAACATAGGAACCGGCATGTTTTAAAAACAAAGTCGAGACATTACACCGTAATACTATATGCATAATAACAAGCCATGAATGACTGAAGCTCAAACAAACCTCGTCTTGATGTACAGACACAAAGTCAAGAAGAACAAAATCTGCCGTGTCCTGTTGTTTTTTTCACGAGGTCGTCTTAAAGTGCGAGCGGTTTTCACTTTCTCTCGGGAGATCACGATCGCGTCTACATTTGATATATACGAACTTCTTCAGCTGATGATAATAACGTGAGCGTGATTGTTGAAGTGTCTCTGCATCTGATCCTTTCAGAAAGAAAAGGACAAACCTGAGAGTGAAGTTTTCTGTAAGTGGAGACTGTAAGGGTCTGTATGTGTTCAAATGTGTTACGTTTATATATTTATTTTATATAATCACAGTTACAGTAATTACAGTGGACTATTTCGCCCTATCATTGATCTGCAGTTATAATCAATTTATGTTCATAGAAAAGTTAGTATTAAACATTTATAAACAAGTATTTATGTGTATTAAGTACCTGTTTTGTGAGAAGTGCTTCTCATATGATTTGTGAATGACCTGTACAGCTTTACTGTAGACATTTATTAAAGCGAAAATGACATTGACTGAAACTCTGTCGTACACCACGCCCACCAAAAGGGTACCCTTGGTAGTGGAAATGCAGGTCTAATAAAGGTGACATATACCGTACCAGTCAGTGGAAACGGTCCATAACAATACATGTGCAGTGCAACCAATTAGGGTATATGCGGAAGTATGCTAAAGGACTGTTAATTTGTCAGTAACCTGGGTCAAGGTTTAAGGGCTGTTTTCTATAAAAATCTGCGAATTCCACTGGCTGAGTGATATCTGATTTAAAGTGAGTCTCAGATTGTACAAGAAGCACTGCATTAAAATAAATTTCCCCTGCCATGTCCTTCAAGAGTTCACACTTAGATATTGTTTGACAACTGTTAGCAGTTAGCAGGTTTGGCATGCTGTCCTGGAAGAGAACCCTGAGCTCGGAGATAGTTAAGCCCAGGGCTCCCGCATGGTCCATAGAGCATGTGAATGGAGTACGAGATCAGGTGGTTCTCGAGAGCTCCCCCTGGTAAGGGAGGAAAAGAGGAGAAGGGGTGGATGGGGGGTTTCTTCAGAAAAACGAAGATAAGGAGTAGTTCTAACTAGGCTACTTCTAACCAGGCTAATGCAGGTAGATGAGTGGCCAGCTGCTGTCAATCATATCACATGCTCCTCTTGAAATTAGTTTGTAAAACTTCACTTAAAATATGAACTTTTATTTTATCCCAGTATATTCAACGGAGCTTCTGCACTAGCCTGCTGATCCTGACAGGGGCAAACGAGTAAATGCCTTTTTGTCCTGTTTTACGCTTGAGCAACTAAATGAATGCCAAAGTCCATTTAACTGATTGTAATTTAATTAAACTACAACATGAATGCTGTACAAGAAACTGTATTAAAAGTCACATTAAGCACTCACCGGAAGTTTATCAGTATGGGAAGAAACACTAGCTCTGCATATACTCTAGCTCCGCAAGTGCTGGTGCTACCATGTGCTGAACCAGCACAGTGCTCTAAAATGTTGGTTGGATGACTGGGATAAGTGGTTTAGATACTCACAATGCGCACATGCCCACATAACATCAGCCCCACATTTTTGGTGAAGGCATGGACCAGATGAAGAATAGCTGGACGCGAGTTTGGAGCCCCAGTCATCACCAGACACTGTGGCCTAGAGGAGACATGACAGAGTCACATTACCTGTACATCAAACACTTATGGGATCCTAAGAATTATAAACTCATGTACAAACAGCAGTGTTAACAAGGTATAATAAATGATGATGTCAAGCAAAAGCAGCACACTGAGTGCGTGCATTACATTCTCATGACCTCTGGTGTCACTGGTTCAGTCAAGGCAGAACACTGAGATTAGAGCTTCAAAGCAAAAATGTTAAGAATAAAACAAGATTATGCAGTGTGTGAAGCGGTTGATTTGAAGGTACTGTCAGAAACACAGTAATCTCTGACCCAGGAGGATCTAGAGGCACTTCCTCTAAAGATTTCAGTACGAGAACACAGGCAAAAATCACCTTCATCTGGTGTCAGAGCAGAAGACATTACCCTGAAGATCAAAGTCATTACAAAGAATCTAGAGCACTAATAAAGAAACAAAAACTATTACATCAAATATTTTTTTCTAATCCTAATTCAATTCTACTTCTTTGTCGCTCAAATATTTTCCATGGTTGCACTGCATCCAAAAAAAAAGAGAGAGAAAAACACTTAAGATTATTTTAATCAAAAAACGGCTAGTCAAGCAT